TGGTTTTGACATTTTCCAAAATAAAAAATCAAAATTCCAATCTGATTTTGGTTTTACAAAAAAATAAACCATTCTCACTGATGTGAATTATGATCATTGGTTTGACATCCGAATTTTGTGACATCCATAAATATGTAGTTACAACATCGTCTGAACTCGTAATTATAGTAAGGGGTTGGAGTATCATCGCATGAATACGTAGTTACAACGTCGCCTGAACTCGTAATTCATCACCTACAGGTTATGGGCCTGCTGGTGTTTCCACTGGGTTGTCTAGAATAGTCCGTGGTCGCCATCTATACTCTGGTAGATGACTACATCGCCACATTGCTGGTTAAGGTTATGGTATTTCCTTTAATCCTACATCACATATTCATCATCATCTATATACCTAATTATCATCACATATCTCTCATCAATTTATTTCATCACACACCAACTATTTCATCTACCAATGTTTCATCCGCAATATATTTGTAGATATAAAATAAATATACCGTTTAAATTTTTTTAAAACATGTATAAAATCGTTCATCCAGCATAGACAACAAGTATTCAAATAATATGCACACATAGCACGTAATTTATATAAATACTTCATATATATCTATGTGTAAGATGAAAGTAACTATATCTACCATAAAAATCCCATAAATGCTTCCTAACTTCGAACCCCAAGGTTTACTCTACTAAAGCTTCATATTCTCGGCTCTCTGAACCTAGAAGGGTCCAGATCTATCACACCAAAAAGCTCAATATAACTCTTCCTCTCACTCTACACACTCAAGCTCGCTAGGGTTCTCACTTATGGGAAAGGTAGTCGCAATTGAAGGCCATAATTGCCTTTAAATATGGCTCGGGCCCAAATATTTAGGGTTTCTGCCAACAGCGCAGACTCGTCGAGTCGCCTCACCGACTTGTCGAGTCCATTCATTAATCTGAGTCATCGGTTACGACGTTACTCGACGAGTTGAGGCGTCAACTCGTTGAGTCTCCCTTCTTAACTCAAAAGAAAAATACTTAAATTATGATACCTGGAAATCCGGATGTTGCATTTTGTTTTTTTATTTCATAGATTTTTTTATCAACAAATGTTGCTACAATTAAACAAAAATAAATAATTTTGCTAAAACATAATACAATAGGAAGTTTGTTCACATTTAGTCTTTGAACTTTTTAGAGGGAAACGAACTTTCGATTTTGTTCACATTTAGTCACTAAACTTTTTTTCGTTATCTATTTGCCACTAAACTATTGAAATTGTTCACATTTTACCCTTATGACCGGTAACAGCCGGTCATAAGGGTAAAATGTGAACATTTTCAATAGTTCAATGGCAAATACATAACGAAAAAAAGTTTAGTGACTAAATGTGACAAAAGTCGAAAGTTCGTTACCCTTTCAAGTCATTATCCCTTTTAGTATTCGGATTTCGGACAATACAAATGATAAGGTCCTTCAATTATAAAACACCCAAGCAACCATAGATTTTTCAAACACTCCCTGTTTTTGCAAAAAATGTAATATATATATATATATATATATATATATTATATATATATATATATATATATATATATATATATATATATATATATATATATATATATATATGACTTGAAGATGACGTTCTTTATGACGGTTGAGAAGAAAAAAGAAAAGGGTAATTTTGCTACTTATTTATTATAAATATCATCGTATACATACCCCCATCACACCACAGCCTGCATGCAACCATGCAACCTCTCACCATCGTCTCTCTAATTATGGCTTCACTCTTTCTCTTTGCTTGTTGGGCACTATCACCCAAGACTTTGAAGAACTTTCCACCAGGGCCACCAAAACTACCTATTATCGGAAACATACACCAACTCAAAACCTCCACCCCTCATCGTGTTCTTAGAACCTTAGCCAAAAAATATGGCCCCATCATCTACCTACAGCTCGGCCAAGTCTCTACAGTTGTCGTGTCTACACCTCGATTAGCTCGAGAGATCTTGAAGATCAACGATATCTGCTTTGACGACAGACCCACCAGCACAGCCTCTCGAATATTCTTTTATAACGCTCAAGACATTGGGTGGGCTCCTTGCGGAGAATACTGGAGACAGATGAAGAAGATATGCAGATTAGAGCTTCTAAGTGCTAAAAAGATTCGATCTTTCAGCTCTATTCGAGAAGAGGAGGTTAGTAATATAACCAGGGTTTTTGAATCGAAAGCCGGAACACCCGTCAACTTCACGGAAATGACTGTGGAGATGGTGAATAATGTGATATGCAAAGCTACGTTGGGATATTCTTACAAAGACCAGGCTACATTGATCGAGCTATTGCTTGACGTGTTGAAAACTTTGAGTGCTTTCAATCTAGCATCGTATTATCCCCGTCTACAGTTTCTTAACGTGATTTTGGGGAAGAAAGCCAAGTGGTTGAAGATGCATAAAAAGCTTGATGCCATCTTGGAAGATGTGTTAAAGGAACATAGAGCTAGAGGAAGAAACAATAACCATCAGGAAGATCTACTTGATGTCCTGTTGGGAAGATGCTGAAAGCTTCATTCCAGAGAGATTTGAGAACTGTCCGATCAATTACATGGGTGCAGATTTTGAGTTCATTCCATTTGGTGCTGGCCGGAGAATTTGCTCAGGAATTACATTTGGGCTGAGTATGGTTGAATACCCACTTGCTAATTTTTTGTATCATTTTGATTGGATGCTTCCAAATGGATTAAAATCGCATGAGCTTGACATCACAGAAATCACAGGGATTTCTACATCGCTCAAACATCATTTGAAAATCGTCCCGATCACAAAGTCCTTAGCAATGTAAGATAAGCTTCGGCTTTAATTGGATTGGTCGTGGATTTGTTGGGGCTATCGTCAGTGTTCCTTCTTGTCGTATCATATGCCTTTTTTCATGGATTCGCAATAATATGTTTAATTTTCATTTATGAGTGACAAGAACATACGTACCTTTTACTGGTGATCCCAATTTTTCTTTTTTAAGTGAGTTGAATTTGGAAACCATGGTTATTGATTTCTCAATACAAGAATATTGATCTTTAATGGCAAGTGGCCACGAAAGTTCTAAAATGTCGTCATTAATTATTAGAGACCGCCAAATTAGATGGATAGATGGGTGTGTGAACCTTTTTATTTCTATGCAACTATTTCTCACTCAACCCCTACTCTATACTCTCACCCTCATAGCAGCTTGTTAGGAGTTGGTGTTTCTTTTTGATTTAATATAATTATTTGTCGTTTCCAAAAAAATTATTAGAGACTAATGCTGAAGATTCATCACTAATGCTCAAATGGTCGATCGTTATTGTTCTGGTAAAAATATATATCACCATTATGTAAACAGATTCTTATCACCAAGATACCAAATCAGAAATACAATAGAATACTATAATAACATACAATAGAAATACAATTGTACAAATCGTTACACAATGGAGCTAATACTTGAAGTCTTGTGATGATGTTGTTGCCGGCACCGGTGGACAACATGTGATTATACTTTGACACATCATATCATGAGACTTGACCGTACTCTCTCTCTCTCTCTCTCTCTCTCTCTCTCTCTCTCTATATATATATATATATATATATATATATATATATATATATATATATATATATATATATATATATATATATATATATATATATATATATATATATATATATATATACCATTGTTTTCTAGATTTATTGGGTTGAAAAACATATGCATCTTCATCTTCTATCGAATCCACTAAAAACAAACACCCACATACTCACATTAAATCATCTTAATATTCATCCATATCATTTGCATCTTTCATCCAAATCCATTGAAAAACAAACATATACTAAATCGACATCTCCTACTAGGTTTTTTCCCTAAATTCAAAACCTATTCTCAATCGAATCACCTGATCCACTAATGAAACCAAAAAAAATAAAAAATAAATAAACCCCATTAGCCTAGCATCTACCAATCAACAAGAACACAAAATAGTTAAATTTATTGTCAAAAGTTTCCCCTCTATATACATTAACCATTGATCTTTTGTTTCCAAACCTTCTTTGTTTATATCTCCAAATGTGAAACATACAAGGAGATGGAGGTAGCTTCTCTTCCGGAAAGACCGGTGGTGTTTTGGAAGAAGGTCAACAAAGACAACCACCAATAGTCAACTCCCACAGTAACTCCACAACTACGGATGTTAGGATCCAACCCTCAAGAACTTCTTCTAGATTCATCTAAGAAGAAGAAAAGATCTCTAACATAGATTATCCCTTCACAACCTCTGATTGAAGCACTGAAACTCAATCCCATTTAAAAGAGAAACTGGTGCTAAAAACCATGACTCAAAACTTGGATCCATCTTCTTCATCTGGATGAACCCATCTAATAAAAACCTCCATCGATTGATTACAAATAATAAGCACAAACTCGGATTTAGAGGAAGGCAGCGATTCGGAGAACCCTCTTGAAATTGAGACTCACTACAAATCTTTTGGTTCAGCTTCAGAGATGGTGATATTGAGTGTATCGGTGTGTAAGATATGGCCACCGAAGATTTATCCATCTCTGGAGTTCGTCAACGTTCTTAGTAGTGTTCATCGTTGTTTCAAGTGTTGTTCTTCGGATTATGATTTTTTGCGTAGGTTTTCGTTTCAAATCCAAGACTAAGAACAAGTTCCCTTCTCCATATTTGTTTCAGAAAACATCGAGTTTATGTGTGTGTTGTGTTTTGAAGAACACGACCACTGTGTGAAATGTATGTGTTTTAATTTTGACAAGACAAATAATGAGAGTCTTATTTTTTAATTATTAGAAATCAATGAATAAGTATTAGATTTTAAAAAATATAAAATAAATACATTAAGGGTATTATAATCATTTCAAGTTTAGAATAGATGAAACTAGCTCAAAAGAACTACATATCAAAAAAATTAGAGTTTTGACCAAAACCCATAAAAAATACATACCACATGACCATGTTTACAATTTTGCCACCTTTTTATTATATTGTATTGAAAGTTAAACATCTGTCAAACGAGTCTTTGTAAATTCACTAATTATGATATGTATATACCTCTGTTTTTACCTTTTTGTGTCGATTGCTTTACGCCATATACTATAAACATGGTCGAATAAACTATACAATATTTTCTTAATTATCTATTTATTTAAATTACAAGTACTTTTAAAGATTACTCCCAACATAATCAAACCATCAAATTCACTAATTACAAGGAGTTGGGGTTTTGTGGTGACAATGATACTAGGATGCAAAGTGTCATTTTTGCAACCAATGAGGTTGTGAAGTGTAAGAAGAGACAAAACAGCGCAAACCGATTGTATGTATGCATGGTTAATCTTTTGATTGGTTAGTATTATTATCAATGCCAAGCGCTTCTGCCAAATCAAAGTTCAAACTCCCTTTCTTCATCGATCTGCTACTTCTCATCCCATCATCCGACTTCCTCATCATTGCGGTAAATTCTGCATAATCTATGCGCCCATCCTGTCATGAAATCAAGAAATGAATATGTATAACTTTAAACGTAAATCAAAATAATAATAATAATAAAGATGAAGATGGATGATGGAATAACATTGTCTTGATCGATTTCCTTGATCATTTCATCCAGCTGAGTAGTGTCGCTTAGACCAAGATCTTTGCAAGCTTGCTGAAGTTCATCCATGGTGATGTACCCACTTCCATCTTTGTCAAAATAAGAGAAGGCTGTAAGCAAATTTTCCTCTCTCTCCATCTTATTCAAATGCAATGTTGCAGCAAGAAATTCACCATACTCTATCGTCCCACTGCTGTCTGTATCAGCCTGCCGTCAAGCTTTATCTATGTTATGTTATGTTACGTAACATTTTTTTTTTTAATATTATTCTATCATAAGAATATTACAAGGCCTTTCAAAATGTACAACTTTTGTTTTATTGGTGACTCGATGACATGTAGTCTAAAGAGCATGGAATTTTGGAGAAATGTGAAATGCATATAAGAAAAAGAAAAAAAAAAAACTTACTGCATCCATGAGTTCCTTGATCTCAGATTCCATTAGATTGGAGCCAACTTTGTTTAATCCTAGTTTGAGTTCTTCAAATGTGATGGTGCCATTGTTGTCTGTGTCAAGCATTTTGAATAACTCCTTTAGCCCACCAATCTCCTCTTCTGAAAGCCTTTCTGCAATTACCTAGGAACAAATTTGAACTTAAATAAAGATGATGATTTTATGTAATGAATGCCTTTTTTTTTGGTTATAAATGTAGAAACATTTAATAATATGATAAATGAAAAGGTATTAGTTAGTATTACACGCAAAGCCATCTTTTTAAGTTTGTTCATAGCTGAGAAGTGCTTGAGGCGCGATATGACTGCAGAGTCAAGAGGCTTGTCTGAAGCAACTGTGTCATCCCCAATCCATGGATGACCTGTTTCTTATAAGAACCAATGAAATTCAGGATACAGTTTGATTGAAAAATGAGCCATGAACCAAAACAAACAAATGATAAAACTCACATAGGACTTGATGGGCAGTTATCCTTTGTTGTGGTCTTCTATCAAGCATTCTTTTTATTAAATCTTTTGCACTTTCTGTAATTTCTGGCCATGGATCACTTTCAAAATCAAGTTTTCCCTTCAAAATCTGCCTAAAAATACCTGAATCCGATTCTGCATTTATCATCAGATAATGCAATGTTACTAATCATCTAGACATTAAGCATCAGCCAGAGAAAGAGAGAGAGGGGTTCCTTTTTTGTTACGCATGCATCTATGAAGACACGAAGAAGAAAAACTTTTCTAATCTAATGAATTAAATATGCAATATATGGAAAAGTAAAGACTAAAACTCTGTTCTTTACTAATATCATATAAAGGCTATATGTAGCCTTATACAGAGCCATGTGAAATGAAAGTAGCCATAAATTCTACTCATTTACTCCACCTAAAGAACTGGTACAAGCTAATGACCTGCTCTTCTCTTCTTAAGTATACTTTCTCAGCGTGTAACTAAATTGAATTCGGTCAAACTAGAATACTCACTTTAAATAATAAACTATTAACTAAAACATAAAATATAGAACCATAAATACTTAAAGTTCTAGCCATGTATAAGATCACGTGAACCCGTGATTACCGAATCGATTCATCCAACAATCACCCTCTTAATCGGTTTGCTCATACCACTTGTTCACAATAACACTGACTCCTCTTCAATTAGATTTCCCTCTTGCTTCTCCCACTTAGGACACTCATTATTGTAGAGACTAAATTCACCATACTTGTAACATTTATTGTGGATTTTATACAAGACACGTTCATTAGCATCTCAACTCTTCCAAGACTCACCTCATTCAAAAAAATAAATAAATAAATAAATAAAAAAATCCCAGACCCACAACCTTTTCCTTGGTCACGTCTAAAACCATCCCGATTTGAACCTCCATTGCCACAATGCCTAGAAACATGTGATTTTTCTTCACAAGCCAACAATAAACCACCTTGAATGTCCCCCGTTTGCTCTGTTCCTTTTAAACGCTCCTCTTACACCTTCAATCTCCCAACAGTTTCATCGAATAACATTGAATCCAACTTAAAACATTGTTCTATTGAAGCCATGATTTGAAGAAACGACTTAGGCATCGAGTCTAGTAACTTTTTCACCAAGTCCACTTCTTCAAGCTCATATACAAGAGTCCTTGCTTTTGAGGGCTAAACCACATAATTTTGTCATAAATCATCAACCGTTTCACCCTCTTTCATGCGAAAACTTTCAGGCTCCCTCTTCAATGTTGCTTGTCGAGTCACTGTCACCCAACCCACACCTAAATACCATGTCTTCATCCTACAATTGTTTTGGATCGGTGTTTTTTTTTAACAACTGAATATTTCAATAAAAAAAAAAAAAAAAGACAACCCACAACAAGAAGTTAGGGCCAAAATTACAACGAGTTATCTAACAATGGGTTTAATAACCACTTGGACCAATAAACACTAGCATTTTTACACCTACTAGTGAACCAATCAAATGAAGTAAGAACAATTTTATCAAACAATTCTCTTCATTTCAACTTAGACACCCAAAACACCATATCATTTCTATACCTCCAAATGATCCACAACATGGCCAAAACAATCACCTCAATAACATCTTTCTTCATCTTAGTGTTGTTCACCGTGTCCACCCATGACAACAATTCAACAATATTCACCAGGGTAGGTAAGTTAATATCCAACCACTTAGCAATTATGTTCCATAATAGATTCACCATTTCACAAGACATAAACAAATGCTTCACATCCTCTCATTGCACATTGCAAGCATGACATAACGTACATGGGATATCCATTCCTTTATTAGCTAAATTTACCCTAGTTGGAATTGTATTCAACAACAAATGCCATATAAATATATTAATTTTTAGGGGACATGTTTGTTCCACTTCGTACCATTAGGATCTAAATCCCACATCCATGATAACCGAATTGATCACAATGTTCAAGGTGTCAAATTGTTCTTCCTATTGACCATTTCTCGGCTGTCTTCTCCAATTCCACCTCCACCTGTCATGAATGTAGCGATCACCCACATAACACTCTTTTTCCATCTCTAAAGCATACATCCTAGGTAGCTTATCAATTAGTCTAGTATCCCCAACCCATATCGCTTCCCAAAATCTAGTCGAAGTACCATTTCCTACTTTTCTCCGTGACAAATAATCAGGAACAATATGTTTTGTATTAAGGTCATCAATACATTTGACCAAATTTGCCCAAACACAACCACCTCTTTATTTTTCAGAAAACCAAGTCAACCCCCCATGATCAACATGAATTTCTTTTATCAACTTAACCCACAAAGCATTTCGATGAACTAGAAACCACCATTTCCATTTATAAAATAATGCAATATTAAAAGCATATATGCTACCAATTCCAAGGCCACCATTTTCTTTAGAATTTAACGTTGTATCCCATTTAATCCAGCTTATATTTCGTCCTTCCTCTTCCCCTCCCTAAAAAACGAGATCTCATTGATTCAAGTAATCGACAAAAAGTCTTCGGAACTTTAAATAGTCATAATATTCAGATTTCTCAACAATACCATTTGAGACTAAAAATGATCAAGTTTGGTCATTTTTGTACCTTTTCTATTCATGCGAGTGAACTATCAACCACCCATGGGAACATCAAAGAGGTCTGCGTCTATAATAAAATTATTAAAGTCATATGTTGTTCGTTTACAATATTCCGTACCATATCTTTCTTCATGTGATCTAATAGCTAAAAATGATGAATTCACCATTATGATTATTCATAAAAGAGATGATAAAATCTCATGCTTTTTTTTATGTTTATCTTGTGGTGCATAGACATTGACAAGGAAACACTTTATTCATAACCTTAACCTATTCCCATCCAACAATAAGAACGTTTTCATTAGACCAAAGTTTCAATTTAAGAAATAACGTCGGATCCCATATAGTCAGGATGCCTCCTGATCTCCCTTGTGGTACCCCTTGTGCGTTAGTATCAACAATATCAAATTAATAGTTACCCACTTACCCCACATAGCTTTAACACAAAAGAGATCTACCCGTATCATTTTTGTTTCTTGAATTCCAAAAACTGTAATTCCATGCTCAACACATAAATTTCTCACACATTTCCTTTTAGAGTCACTTTTTACCCCACAAAGATTTAAGGACATACTATTAATCTAAACTTTTCATTCTCACCAATTCTTTCAATCATCACTTAAATATCCTCTTTACACCCATTTATTTCATACCCAAATGCGTTTCCCACCTCAATGTACTTATCTAACATTTCAATCAAAGACCCAATTGTTACTTTTTTCTTTCTTAATTTACCATTAGTCTTACATACTTTCGAAGAAAAAGAGGAAACTATTGATGTCTCCATTTGTTTTCTATTAGTTGTCGAATTTGAGACCATTGGTGAGTGAAACTTTGCACCATTGAACCCTAGTGGCTTAGAATCCAACTTTGAACTTTCCATTGCATCCCCATCAGCTAGCTGGTTCGCCTCTTATCTCTTTCCTCATGTTCGTGAAAATCAGCCTCTATCTCGGCCCTGTGGTCTAGTTGTTATTCTCAGCAAGCCTAATTTCTCTCCAACAAAATTGATTTTTTTTGCAACATCTTGTTTTGTCCGGTGAACTTTTCCATTTTCTTTACTAGTTACCTCTTTCCTTTCCATTTGGAAACCACCCTTCCTTTCGCCCCATCTCATATGCCATGTTTCTGTGGCTAGACCCGACAATCAAGCGGGTTTTGACCCTGATCCGCTCCAAACCCGTGCAAAGTTAATGGGTTTGAATCATATTTTATAATTCATTTAAACGTTAATGACCCGTACCCATTAAACCTTTTATTAAAAGGGTCGGGTTTGGATCACTATCGATTCGATCCATTTATGACCCGTCCCATCTAAAGTTTTAAAATTTAAATTTAGTATTTATAAGTTATACATTTATCAATTACCGATATAATCTTTAGTAGATGACTCGAGGAGTTCGATCGTTCCACTTCCACTTCCGGGTTCCTAGTGGCCGATTTCTGATCAACTTCCGATACAAATAACTGAGTGAAATCATACAAGTTTGTAATAGTAGACATTTGTTTTGTTTTGGAAATGTTATTAAGTTATAATTGAAGTTTATTTTGGAATGAATGTTGTATCGCTCTACTTTTTTGTGCTTCATGTTATATACTTATATGTGTTGTAATGCATAATTATAACCTAATCTTAATATTGTAAATGGATCCGGTAAAAGGGTTGAAAGTCCGTTGATTCGGTGGATAAGGGTATGGGTTTAATTATTCAGAACCCTGCGGGTTATGGGTCGGGTTTGGAAAACATTTGAAAATTGCTTAGTGGGTTTGGATCAAGGCCGATCAGCTCGAAACCGGCTCCATTGTGAGGCCTACCTCTTCCACAACACATTCGTTGAATTGATTGTTATTAACTTGATCTTCCTGTCTCATTTTTTGAAAAGTATCCGGTATGATCTCCTCCACCTCTACCTCTTCGTCATATTCATCATCGCTATTGTTATTTTGTTCCTCACCATCACCTTCTTGTTCACTCTCTCTATCATATTCCATTGACCTTTCTTCTGGTTTCTATATGGTAGGACACCAAGAAGCAATCTCTCTCACAGTCATGACATAGTTTTTCCCTTCGATTGTTATCATTGGATTATCATTAATTAAAGATGCATTTGTAGAATTTACACACACACACACAACCAGAAACTCTTTTGTTCTTCCAAGTCACTATCCATAAACATAACATCACCATACGAGGCTGCAACTTTTTTAAAAGCAACTGATGTCCATGTGCATAGCGGTAATCCTTGTACCTCTAACCATACCATCATCTCCTTTATCACAAAAGACTTCGACACAGGTCTTATCTCTTTGAAACTTGACTTTACTCTTTCATTTTGCTTAAAGCTACACAAACTCGGTGTTTTGGAATTCTAGCCATACCCACTTTCCTCCCATGTAAGTAATCTTCATCCTATCAAACCCTTCCAAACCAAAAATTCGATATAGAAGAAAACTTTTCTAATCTAATGAACTAAATATGCAATATATAGAGAAGTAAGGACTAAAATCTATTCTTTATTCACATCAGATAAAAGCTATATATAGCGCTCTAGAGAGCCACGTGAAGCATAAAAGTAGCCATAAAATGCTACTCATTTACTCCACCTAAAGAACTGGTACAAGCTAATGACCCACTCTTCTCAAATATACTTTCTCAACGTACAACTCCATAGAATTCAGTCAAACTAGAATACCATTTCTACATAATAAACTATTAACTAAAACATAAAATATAAAACCATAAATACTCAAAGTTCCAGCCATGCATAAGATCATGTGAACCCGTGACTACCGAACCGATTAATCCAACGAGAGAGAGAGAGAGAGAGAGAGAGAGAGAGAGAGAGAGAGAGAGAGAGAGAGAGAGAGAGAAGAGATACCTGCCCAAAATGGAGGAACTCCAGATAGCAAGATGTAGAGAATAACTCCAGCACTCCACACGTCAATTTCAGGTCCATAATGTTTATGAAGAACTTCAGGTGCAACATAATACGGGCTTCCAACCACATCTGATAGATACTGCCCTGGAAAACAAATCTAATAACATTATGTATCCACACTTCTTTTCTATTTTATTTAACACTTTCGTTCATTCATTTCTATCTCTTACAACATTCTACTTCCGATTTTATTTTTTCTGTAAGGGTTTGAAAAATTACCCCATTTGGATGATTTTTCTATAATTGACTAGATTTTTCCATCTACAATGTTGTAATATGAATTAATGAAAGAAAAACCGGATAACATATAAATTAAAGAAAATACATTGCTATTTCATGCATTAAACTCTTCCACTACCATAATGTTTCCACTCTTATAATATCAATTTTCAACTCTCGGATTACTATTATGTAAGACAAGTGAAGAAATTGTGACTTGGTAGTATGTGTTTTTCATAAGTTAGAAATTGTTTAAAATTCTTCTCTAATCCACAAATACAATGCCTTGGACCACAAGTTTCATATTGCCTTGGAGTACAAGTTTCATATTTTTGCTTGACAGAAAACAACTTGTAGGGCCATATTTTCTTTTAATCTACATGAGAAAAAAGAAAACATATGTGAAAACATTTCCATCAATCCATGGTAAAATCTAAATTACTTCAACTACAAAACAAAACAAATTTTCAAAAACCATAACCAAATTACATTTGACACACAAAATGACAAAATTTCATGTACCCATTTGTGTCATGTAAGAAACTAAATCATGGAAGAAGAACCTGGTTTGTAGAAGATTGACAATCCAAAATCTATAGCCTTAAGCTGTGCATCCTTATCACAACTATGAAACAAGAAGTTCTCAGGTTTGAGATCTCTATGCATAACTCCAAGAGAATGACAAGCTTCAACAACACCAACAATCGTCTTCATCAATTTAGCTGCTTCTCTCTCGCTGTAATGCCCCTTCTGTACAATCCTATCAAAGAGTTCGCCACCTGCACAAAGTTCCATAACCAGATGAACAAACACGTTGTCCTCATAAGCGCCTTTGATCCTCACGACACATGGATGCTCCGATAAGTGATGCAATATTTGAATCTCTCTCCATACATCATCATAATCATCCTTGCATAACATCTTCCTTTTGGGTATGGATTTGCAGGAGTAATCGATACCTGTTGATTTCTCTCTACACAGGTAGGTAGTACCAAATTGACCTTGCCCTAATTTCTTCCCCATGGCGAAATGGTCTCTCAGTCTTGGAGTTGGGTGTGGGAGGACTGTGGTCGAAGGCTTTAATGACGAAATTTGAGTGGGTCTCTTCATTGATCGATCAATCAGGCTACCGGATCTTGATCGGTTTCTTTGTTACGAAGACGGAAACAGCAATTGGGAGAAAGGTGGAGGAAAACGAGGAAGAAACTGTTATCTCATGCAATTCATGGTTGGATGGTGTATTCACTATAAATATCCCTACACAATTAGAATCAATCATGCATTGTAGTTGTATCAAATTTCATTATTATATCCGAAAATGCCTCCATTTGAGAACTCTCATTTGAGATAGGAAAGGGTAGTTTTGACGGAGGTGTAAATCTATTTTCTACCGCTTCAATTTCATCGGTTCGTCCGTTTTTTTTGGTTCTTGCTACAGTTGCCCTGCTGTTTCTCACGCCTCGATTTCAGGTAAACCTTCTTCTCGCATCAGACACCTTCTTCTTTTGTCGTTCTAATCGGAAGCTATATGCGGATTTAGAATACACAGTTTTGGGTATTGCATACAAAATTTAGAAAAAGATCACAAATCATTCGCAAGAGAATCAATAGCTTTAGGGTAGTCATACCCGAATCTGTCTCCCCAAAACGATCATAGCTCCGTTTCATTCAGAATTTCTTCCAATGGTAGAAAAACTGCTTCTATGTTTGAAATGATTACTAAGCTTGATGTCAAACTGTTCGATGAAATGAAAAAGAGACAACAGTTATTGCAAGCGGCCATTCAAAACTAAAACCTAACCCAACAATTTATTAAAATATATTTTCATCTATGTACCCAACCAATTAAAACAATTTTTATCAACTCTATTAACAACTCATCCAACCCAACATTTTAATATTATAAAATAATTAAAACTATACAAAAACATATAAATATTGGTCTTTATTTGTAGAGAAAAAAAATTATAAATATGTCTATTTTGTATTTTTTATTTTTAAAAAGATAAAACCTAATTTAATATTTATAAGATTTATTTAAAAAAAAAAAAAAAAAAAAAGCAATTGAAATTTTAGAACAAATGTTCAAGACTAAGTTTGGTGCACCCACCATTTGTGTTTTTAGTTGGCCATTTTTCTTTAATTTTCGTTTTCTTTTAATCCATTTTTGGTGACCAACCATTAAAATGGTCACCAATGGGAGTGGTCTAAGCACAATCGTATAAAGCAGGAAAAAATAAGAAAGTTCATCTCTACCTCTATGTGATCTATGTGAAGCTGTGACGGAAATATCAATAAGAAGAGAAAAAAAAATTCGAAAAAATGTGTACTCGCAAATATCAAATTTAAATATTAAGATGTAATCATTGGTTTAATGCACTATTACTTTAAAAATAATTATGTTATTATATTTGGACGAATTTTTTTGTGCCACTGCTATTAAAAATGTCTATGTTCGCCATTATATATATATATATATATATATATATATATATATATAGAGAGAGAGAGAGAGATGGATGATCATTTGAAAACATAAAGTTTCCCGAGAACCCGATAACTAAAAGTGGACAGTTCGATCAATTTTTTGGACGGTTTAGATGATTAGTGGCATAGTTTGTAAATATGATCAAATTTAATGGTATATTAGGTTTTTAGCAATATATCACAAGGGTAAATCTGGTATATAAAAAAATAAAAAAATCAAATTAGCTATTAATTGAAATATTCATTAGCTTTTTTTTTTCTCTCTCTCTCTCTCTCTCTCTCTCTCAATGTATCGTGTTCTTCACCAACATCCTCGTCTCTCCGTCGAACGCCTCCTGTCCTCCAACAACCACCCTACCTCTATCAACAACCACCACCTTCAACGGCTTACAGTTGTTTCTTTCATCGACCACAACTACGGCGACCTAATATATTCGCTATCTCTTTATCTCTCAATCACCAATTTACTCCATGATTTCCACCGCCTAACGTTGCTACCGTAGATCTGGAAACAAAATCCATTTCGTCGATCCATTATATCATAAACCGATCTCCAATGAAGATCCCAAATGATTGATAGATTGAACTACATGATGGTTGCGTCCTTCTTCCCTCTCGGAGTTTCGTGCCCTAATAAATCAACCAGAGGTCCGATTGCTCCAGACCCCCTGATTCAGAGGTTCAATCGGTGTCAGCGCTGCTCAAGTGTTCGACCAATTTCTTCACATGCGTTTCGATTTCAGTGAGATCAGGTATCGCTTCACTACATGGACATTTTAGCAAAAACAAATTAGTAATTAGAAGATAATTTTAATTTCTCTTTTTGAATATTAGTCAGGCTGCCAGGGTAATCCCTTTAAACTACAATGAGAGAACTTGTTGAAAAGGAACTTGATTCTGCAGAGTCCATTACAGAGCTTCCATTAGTTGAAGTAACAATGTAAGTGACCATGTCTATATATATATATATATATATATATATATATATATATATATATATATATATATATATGTTGTTTCATGCTCTGAATTCTAAACACATAACCATGCACTTTAGTTATATTTATCATATTCTTTTTATAGTATGAGGAACTTAATCCAAAAGCAACTATGACCGATGCAAACAACATCAATTCATCAACAACAACTTCTGTTCAGTTAACATCTAAAGTGGTTTTGCCTAAAGGTTCTACACTTGTTATTAGCCTTACAGATGTTAGTGAATTATGTCGTGGACACACAAAAAGCGGAAATTGAAAAGTTAAAGGCATCATAGAAAAAAAATATATAGCAATCTTATTATATACTCTGATTATAGAAACCCAAGTGTGACATACGTCTATACTTTTGCACATGGAATGAATTTTTAATACTTACCCAATTGATGAATAAACTAATCAAAATCAGACTTGAAAAGACCCAAAAATCTTGACCAAAAATTTCTTTTTAAAGCATTAATAAAAACCATAAGTATCCAATCATTTCATCTATAAACAAAGGTTCACATATCAAATTAGAATATCATCTCAAAACATGTTCTTTTTATCAGAGTGAAACATCTTAGGCTAAAACTTCTTGGTGTGTGTTATGCGATCATTCCGAGCTCGTCCATCCGCTACCGGAAGTACCTGAAACCAAAACTGAAAACAGTAAGCATGAAGCTTAGTGAGTTCTCCAACCTACCACATTCCACATACGTATAACCATGTACACATAATCATGAACTACTAGGCCCTCGCCCGCTGCATCGGGCCCCGACCGGCATCAGGCCCCACCTAGCATCAAACCCCGCTCGGTATATATATCTGTATCTCTTAGGCCCCGCCTGTCTTCGGGCCTCGCCCGCTATACACATACATACAATCAATAACATACTCGTATATAAATAAACGCACTCTAACTGTACCCTGATCTAAGGCCTCACCTAACTTGGTCCCCGCCCCTGGTCTGCTATGGAAGTTATGGAACCCCATCCAGACTCCTGCTAGTAGTGAGATACGGGCCCCCGCCCACACTCACATCCTCCCTATCACGGGCCTCACCACTACTATGCTAATATCGAGATATGGAACCCCATCCATACTCAACTGGTGATGAGATACGGGTCCTCACTCACACTCACATCCCTACTAGGCACATACAAGTATCACAGAGACACCATGTATATTCTAACATACAACATAAGAACCTTCCTCGGGATTGCCCTGGTATCGGACTCCCAATCTGGAAACATACCATCCTGTAACACACTTCGGGCTTACCCCGACATCGGACTATGACATCCCCATTTTCATGGCCAAAAAAGACCGATTTGCTTATGCTTTATTTTGAAAATCAGAGTAACCTTTTAAAGAAAAATGTAGCGGAATTTGTTCCCAGAAAAACATGATAAATACCTTATCAAAGCATTTCCGAAGAAATGTATTTTATTCATTTAAAACATTTGGATGTCATCGTCAATACATAAACATAAGCATAAACAAAACTTACATTCATTATCACTAGTGATTTATATCTCCTTAATCTTTCAGTGTAATGTAACTTCATATCGACACTTGTGATACAAATGAACTGAGTGGGTCAAGTTGGAAAACCTGGTGAGTACATAGGGTTTTCAACCCACAATAATATAATTATTATGTTTAATCATCAAACAGTTAACCCGATTACCAATCCCCATTATCATATTTACTCTTAAGGATCTACACTAAGAATCAGCTATTCCTCGTTAATTCATTCCTAAGGCTTATCCTAAGGAATAGGCACGAAGTCCATCGTCTTCAGGGTTTAGGCACTAAGTACGCATAGTCGTCAGGGTTTCTACAATAGGCACTAAGTTCATAGTCGCCAGGGTTTAGGCACTATGTCTGCATAGATGCAAGAGTTTATACAACATGCACTAAGTCTACATAGTCGCCAGAGTCTTTTAGGGTACATCTGGTGAACACACAGTTAAAAGCATTTGGTGAACACATAGTTCAAAACATATGGTGAACACTTAGTTTAAAAATACCTAGTGAATACGTAGTTCAAAAACACCTACAAGTTACGAGCCTGGTACGTTCCACTGGACTATCTAAAATAGTCAGTGGTTGTCATCTATACTCCGCTAGATGGCTAGATCATCTTAAACATTGAGGTATGTCATCATTTTATCACACATCAACTATTTCATCTACTCATGTTTTACCCAACATTTTTGTAGATATAAAATACATATATACAGTTTAAATCATTTAAAATATGTATAAATCGCTCATCCATCATAGATATCAAAAACACAGATAATATGCACACATAGCACATAATTTATATTAAATATTTCATATCTATGTGTAAGATGAAAGTAACTATGCACTCACTTGTTACAGTGATGATTCCAAACTCTGGCAGTGCTTCGCTTCTAACGATTCTATTTTCCTTCGACGAAACCTAGCATTATTATCGCTAAATTTTAGTCTAATATTTATTGCGACTAATTATTAGTCTACATTCGTCATTAACTCAGAGTCTACTTCATGATCTATCAAGTAAGGAACAACCAGGTAGGATCACATCGGAGGTAAGGTCCGTTTGGTATACGAAGTATACTGTTTGGAAATCTCACTCACCTCACTAAATCACAGCCTAGACATCATTCTCGTAATTAGATTAGTCAGTATAAAGACTTTGAATCACTGATAAATCTTATTTTTAGGTTCATAATAACGATATTATATTTAAATATAAGCTATATTTGAAGTACGGTAGGCGTATCTCACTTACAGCGAGTTTTGTTAAAACCCGGGCACTGTTGGAGTAGAGCTTCTGATCCGAAAGGCTCTTTCTCTCGGAAACGTCAGGTGCTTCGAGGCTTTTGCCTCGTGCTAGGGGGTTTTCCTAGGCTTTAGGGGGTTTGGGGGGGGGGGTAGAGAGAGAGAGAGAGAGAGAGTTTAGAGAAAGAAAGAGGTGGTGAAAGGTATGAGGAATGAGCTTCCCCCGACACTCTATTTATAGGTTGTATGGGTCGAATTCGTGTCGTGAAACTTCAATTCACGTCGTGACTTGCGTAGGCTCTAAGGCTTCGCCTGGTGCTAACACGTGGTGTCGGACGTAGGTAAAACAATTAATCTTTAAAAATTCATAATTTTTGCATACGAACTCCGTTTTTGACGTTCTTTATATCCAAGCGTAGGTAAAGACAAGATCTACAACTTTCCTTTTGTCTCCGTTGGCTAATTCTCTATCTATTTTAAATTTAACAGTATGAGAAGATTTTACTGTTAAATGGTTGCGTAAAATTCATAACTTCTACATACGGACTCCGTTTTCGTCCGTCTTTTTATCGTTGAGTCCCTATTA